AAGTGGCATATTTCGGGCTCCCTTATATAGTTAAAATATACTGAATCTCTATTACCTCCTTTCCTGAAATGAATATACCAAATGTTAACTATGAAGTAATTGTCTACATGTGGGTGGTACATGTATTTTCACAGGCTAGTTCTAATTGGCTATTTTTACTTCTCATTTTTGTAAATGCTAATTTTAATTATACAGATGCAAAAATTAGGCACCTGATAATATTTTTAAAATTTAACAAGATCCAAGATTTATAACAGTTTATCTATGACAATTATTTAAAACTATGTATTTGAGTCCTGAATAACTCTTAGGATAAATCTTCAGTATTTTCTAATATAAATATATAAATGTTAATGATTTGGACGATGGTTAATTCTTGTTTCAAATTTAAGTCTGGAATTAAAGTTTTATCTTTAACATTTACTTATAGTATAGTTCCTAAACTTTTAATATTTATTAATTATGCAGATATTCGTAAAAATGTATTATTTTATTATCGTAGATATATTAATTTAAAAAAAAATATACAAAATTAAATTTCACGAAACTGTCTTGTTATATTATTATATTAAATGATCATTTACCTGATCGAATGAGTTTCCATATATTATAATAAAGAGTTGAAATAATAAATGTTTTTATGAATATAGTATATACAAAACGACAGTGAACACACACACACACAGACACCATACGATACACGTGTATATGTATATATTTTCCATGGTTAATGATGTTATATAAGATATATACATAATACAAATGATGTATACATACATTATACATATTATCATATTATGTGTAAAATTACCTATATAACCGGTGACAAGGTGCATCCAGGCCACGGGGTGCGTGTTACGCGGCATAACAAACTCGCGGTGATTTTGGTTGAATGAAAGAGATTATATTATTAACACTAGTGTCGCGGAGCCTTTTGTCAACGTCAACATAACCGCGCGCCCTCTCTATCCGTTCGTCGTACGAAATTTTATACTTATCTCGCATTCGTCCCCCATCGTTGTTACTTTATACATTACGACGTCGCCGTCAGGTTAACCGTCTACAGTTCTCCCCTTAGCGTGTGCATACGTACTTCGACATATCGCGTATAAATATAATATAATATATCCTTTACCGATCCATAAACACAGCTTGACAAGTTGCTTACGGGCTTAAGGATTTCCGAAGAAGAACCTTAGAATATTGTAATTAGATTAATATGAAATACCCTCAGTGCACAGTGTCTCGTATAATTATTACGGCCTATATACATGTTGTACGTGATAATACATGTAGTCGCGAGCCCGCCCCTGTTAGATCGACTGAGGCTGAGGCTGAGGCTCTCGACAAGCATAAACGGTCTCTCATTGAAAACGTCAAAAGTTTACCGAAGTCTGTGCAGGCTATGCATGTACCTATACTGATATTTTGATAAATCACTCATCGTGAATATTATTATATGGGTATATATACACACTTCACGCTCTACAACGTCTATATATATAATGTATAGATCTGACATAGTTAAATGTAATTTCAATACACAATTTCATATTTATCTGATACACCCTATATACGTTTATATGTTATGTGTATTAAGTATTGATTTACCATATCCATTATCAACATTTACCATATTATAATGTGTGAACTGAATGACGTTATGATACAGATTCAGCAGGTTTTTGTGTCATGTTTTGATTATTTAATCAGAGGATATGGAAGAATTTCGTTTTTCTACACACTTCTCACCATTCACTTCAAAACTGAAACATCGGTAAACAATGATTTAACGTGAATAGTATAAACATCGGTATACATATAATGAACGATTAAAATACGGAAAGTAAAAAAAAAATCATTTGTTTGTTCAGGTATTTTATATATATATATATATATAAGTATATAGGGTGAGAAATAGGTATGTATACTCCAGTCATGTCAAACGCATAAATTCTTAAGGTTATGATGCGCGCGCGCCCATAGGGAAAACCGAGAGAAATATGCAAAACAAAAACTTAAAAAAAAATAATAATAAGTAAGTAAAAACCTTGCGCATGAGGGGGAATGAGCACGACGAAAAAATCAATGTAATATCATTAATCAAAAATTCTTTTACCGGTCTGTAAAAAAAAAAAAACAACGCGTAAATAGGGTTGGCGGGGTAAAGGGGGAACGTTTCGTATAGAAAAAACAAAAAAAAAAAAAAGAATACGGTAACTTTTCTTAACTTTATGTGGTGTCGGGGGTCGACGGTGGAAGGAGAGCGGGGTACACGAACATGGAAAGGGGTGCGGGATGACTTTCGGATGTTTTATATTGGAAAAGCGAAAAGACGAAAAAAAAAAAATGTTTGTTCGCGAGACAGAAACAAAAATGCTCAACCGACCCCCCACCCCCACTCTACTCACCGCCACAATAACCGGGCCGTCGTAACCTCGTCGGCGGTACCTATATAGATATTACATACATACCGGACGATATGTGCGGCAGGAGACTGACGGACGAAACCCGAAACGGAACCCCAACAAATGATGTCAGCAATAACCCCTCTCGCACTCGAGTAAAAGATATTCGTGCATCCGTATACATATACATAATAATAATAATAATAATAACAACAACAACTGTAATGTCATACACACACACAGGCACACATTTATACATTATACGTAGTTTAAGTCGGAGCAGCGACGCCGGTCCTCGCTCGCTTATTGTCATCCAGTCAAACTCTCGCGTTTGCCGCTCGGGCGATATTAAATTTTACCTGGCGACACATGGCCGCGTATATAATAGTATATATCATATCATATCATATCATATCATACCGTATATATGAGATTTGACGATGACTGATGAACGACGGCCGCCCACCGCCCTTCCAGTCGATTTCTCGTCGCAGCCGACCGTTATTTCATACATATATATATAAACGAATACGAGCGCAGCAGCACACGCACTCCGCAGCTCCTCTCATCACGACGACCCTTATATCGTCTCGTCCGGAGATGTGCGTCTTATATAATATAATATAATATTTCGTTTGCAGCCCGTGCCTTTGATTCCGCCATCGCCGCGGCTGTCTCTATATATTATCTTATTCCGTCATATACCACGGTCGTCGTCTCGCAATACTCACTGCAGTTTACCGATGATATTACGGTGGTGGCCGACGGAGAGAGGGAGTCTACGGCGGGTATGGGAGAAGTGACTTCCGAAAATCAAATTCCGCCCCGACGAACCGCATTTGTATATACCTATTACCTATGAAATATGTACATGATATTTAGAGGAAACACACACACACACACAAACGTACACTTATGTATATATCTCTATTTCGGTTAAGAGTGGCGTCGTGCATGTGCCATACGAATTCTCATTATTAAAATATCACACAGGTTCGATCGGTTTCTTGTCACTCGTAAACGGTAGGGGCCCCGCCGCAAGTATTTACGCTATTCGTTGAATGTTGATGATGTCTCTCGCGCTTATACGCTCGCACGCGTTACAAATCACTCGATAAGATGCCGTCGTTTCGGGTTTCGTCTGATTCAATAAAAAAAAAATATTTCCTCGAATACAACTCGTTTTTACACTTCTAACCATTGTTTTTCTTCAAACAAAATATTTTAAGTACCCGTATTATAATGCGCATTAATAAATCGTAGACACATCACAAACCCGATACACGAAAACGATTGAAGTCATAGTATTATGTAGACAACATGTAATAAGTTGTACAACTAACCTGCTGGTATCCCTTCAATTTATCATAAATAATCAATCGTAATGAAATTTTACCACACAATAATTTTAATGTTCGCAATCTTTATGGCAAACGAATTTTTTTTTATAAACAGATAGTTTTTTCTCTTGTAATTTTTTCCTTGTGACGTTATTTAAATATTTACAAATTTACAATCCAACAAAATTTAAATTTTATAAACGATTGTGATAACTGGTTTTGTGACGGAAAGTATCCCCTATTTTCACTCAGTTGTATAATGTATACTTTATAATACGAAATGTGCTATTCAAATGTTATTTTAAGCATTTATATAATTTTATTACCGGATAAAAAAAGAACTTATCGTTATATGTTTAAAATATTTTAAAACCGCTTGAACCAAATTTAAATCCAAAAAGTTGTACGATAGATTACGATAGAGTATATTATTTTTATTTTAAGTATAGTTACGCAAATTTAATTTGTATTGTAATTGACGTATACCCAAGTTTAATTTTTTTAATTTTTATATAATATGTAACTAAATATATTTTTTACATAGGTATATTCTATTAAATATTCGTAATATTATTTATTTATAAAAAACATTGCATAAAAATATTCTTCAATTACTACGATAATTTATAATATTTTCATAACTAAATGTCCTAAAATGCTCACTCGCCAGTTTATTCATCTTAGACTCATGCAGTGAATATCATTTCAAATTTTTAAATAATCAATAAAATATTTTTAAAAATATTTCTGACTGTTGATACCTCTTAATGTTTTTCTTAATGTCTTTTCGTCACGAAATCTACAAGACCACTGTGATGTGCACATCGTGAAACGGAAATGCACATTTCAAAAACGTCGGTGAGATACCCATTTTTTTTTTTAAAGAAAAACAAACACGTTTTGCCGCGCAGAACGTGTACGTTGTTTGTTTGACGGAAACAAATGCGGTCGGCCTTCCCTCGTGTCCGTTTCGGATGCCTCGTCATTGGGTTAAAATTTATCTCTTACGCCGCCGACGGTCATTAGGGACGTTCAGGCCAATATGTTTCTTTTTTCCCGTCTTGTGTTTTCATATTTTTATAATATTATTAATAATGTCATTTGTCAGATGCGAAGGCGAAAAAAATAAGACGCCGCCAATAGGTTTTCGTATAATTAATAACTTCGAGGTTGACACGGATTTTTTTTCCATGACCCGCATCTCATATTCCGGCAATCGTTTATATTTTTTTGTTTTGTCTATTTATTTCAGAAAACGGTTTGCCTAGGAGATTACGGACCGCATACACCAACACTCAGCTCTTAGAACTCGAGAAGGAATTCCATTTCAGCAAGTATCTGTGTCGGCCCAGGAGAATAGAAATCGCTGCATCTCTAGACCTCACTGAAAGACAGGTATATACATATGCATAATATATTTATAATATTATATTGCTTATAAGTTACCGCATTAATATTGCTAATCATAGTTATAAATCTGTCAAGTCGTAGCAGACTAAAATGTTTCAAAAATTTATTGAATATGAGAAACAGCTGGAGAGTATGTAAATCAAATAATATAAGTGTGCAATAATTAACTAAGATTAAAAAATGTCTTAGAATAAACATAATATTATTATCTGGTCAATAATATTCCAGATTTTTTCTTCTATAAGCGCAATGAAAAAAAAAAACATAGTTTCGAATTATGTTTATCAGAAAAAATTAAATGACATTAAATTATAGGTCTTGGCTGGTGCTGTAGTGTGTTCGCATTGTAAAATCGTACCGGAACATATACAACCACTGTTGTTATTATGTTATGCTCTTCGGAGTTATAAAAATCGGTTTCCCAGCGATTACCGCGTTTAATGCATCTGTATTTCAATGAACTCGGACCTTGAACAAGATGATAATAATAATATTTTCCAAAAAAAAAAAAAATGACATGGTTTCGTACAGTACATTATAAGTAGGCAGTTCTCAAGGGAAAATAAATCTTGATATGACTTCAGGCGGTTTTGAAATATTTACGCCATTAAGACAATATTACGTTTATTGTCAGTGTTATTAAAACATTGTACAGAAATCAAATACAATTTACTTTTTGAATGTTTCGAACATTTAAATGCTGTGTGTTGCGGGTGGATGGCTATTCAGAATATTCTAGTTGCTATTTTATTGCTCTAATCTTAGAAAAAAAAAATAATAATAACGCTTATAAAAATAGTAACGAAAAACAATTTATTGTACATTGAAATTGTCAGAATTATTATATTATAATTACCTATACACCCGTTAATGATGACCTAAACAGCTGTGTGTGCATATTGAATACACGATCGATGCGATCTGTCCAATATTGAAAAACGCAGTCGTTTTTCTTATTTAACAACAATACAGTTAAACGCATATACCGGTCATAAAGGTACCGTTTAAATTGGGGAGACAGCGCGAAGGGGGTAAAGAGATTGTACTCGATTGTTGTCGGACTTTTGACGCAGATTCGAAAACTGAAACATTTCACGTTTTAAGCCATCTGACCGTGTCGCGTGAACGACAACGAAACATGCTGTTGTAAACGGCTCGTGTATGTCGTGCAAACGCAACGGAAACGGCCGTATATAATGTTCGGGTGAAACGCCGCGGCCTCATAGCAAGAATATAATATAATATTTTATGCTATGTACATGTCTGTATATTCGATATATATGTATGTGGTTTGTGGTCCTATTAAATTGTAATTTGGACGGACACGAAACGGAAAAAATAAAAATAAAACGTGTCATGCTCCCATGGGCTGCACGGTGAGTTGGTCGTACGTGTGCTTATTATATATATATATATATATATATATATTGTACCTTTACATATTTTAATGCCACGTGTGTTGATAACAACAATAGAAAAATATAAGAATAATGACAATAATATAATATGAACGTGTGTCTCTACTATTCCGATTTTTCTTTTTATTAAATTTTGACTGGAGGGGAAAAAATGAAAACGTGCGATTGAATTTGATCAAATATACGTGTTTTAGGTCAAAGTATGGTTCCAAAACAGACGGATGAAGCATAAGCGGCAGACCATCAACAAACAGGGAGAAGACGGAGATGACAAAGACTCGCAAAGTTCGAGCACAACTACAGGCAAACACGGAAAATCGTCAGGAGGCGGCGGCGGTGGCGACAAACAGATGGATGACAAGAAAAGTTGTCAGAACTGCGACTTGCCACCCGGCATAATGATGGAGCACGTGACCCGAAACAGCAGCGGAGCCGGAAGTAGCGCTGGCAGCGTCAGTTCGTTCGACACGAAAATGGAAGACGATTCACGGTCCAACGAGGGCATCATGCACATGACCGTCAAGCGGGAACCGACAGGCAAAGCGGAACAGGCGCAAACGAACAAGAAATCGGCGGCATCGATGTGCACGAAAGACCCGATGAGACTAATGCCGGACATATCGCCGGAAGTAGGTAAGTCCCTGAAGGGAGGCGGCACATCCGTGGGAAGTTTGACGCCATCCACGCCGGACACACCGTCTACCGCTCTCTCGAGTCCACTGGGCACTGCGGCCGCCATGTACCAACAACAGCAGCAACACCAACAACAGCAACAACAACAACAACAACAACTCGATCACTCGGTATCTACACCGCCGACACCGTCTAATGGCGGACCGACAGCCAAGTCACCGTATTCAAGGGTCGCCGACGCTTATAGACAACAGCAACAGCAATACAACAAGCAAAACAATTTCGGCGGCACCGGCAAGGACTGCTATATGTCACAGTATCCGCCGACTACGCAAAGCCGCTGGTACATGTCGCCGGAAACTTCGTCTCCCCCATCATCGTCTTCGTCTTACAAGTCCAAGTCCGGAGCGACCGCAGCCGTTCAGAGCCCTGGCAGGGTACAGCAGCAGTCCGGTCCGAACCATTGTCGTCAGCAGTACTTGCAAGGCGCAGGTTATGGTCCACAACAGCAATACTGTAACGGTTACAATAATAACGGTTACCAGACCGGTGGCGGCGGTGACTCGTACCAGCAGACCACGACCGTACCGTCGGCCATCGGTTACCACCACCGTCAGGCATACCAACAGCAGCAGACCGGCGTCAGTGGTTACAGCGGCAGCACCGCTGCAGGTGTCGGGGGCGGTGGCGCCGGCGGTGACGATTATCACCATCACCATCTGAGTTACGCCGGCACGTACCAAGCCACCAGCCAGGGATACGCGTCCAACAACCATCACATGGGAGGTACCGTCGGAATTCATCATCAACAGCAACACCACCAACATCAGCAACAGGACCATCACTCAGGTTCGCAACTGTACAACATGGACTACCACCATCAACCACATCATCAGCAGCAGCAGCTCCAACAGCAACAGCAGCAACATCACCAGCCGCCACATCACCAGCAACAGCAGCAGCAGCTCAGGTACAACAAGTCGGCTGCTGCGGCGGCCGTGCAGGTGTCGGCTGGCCAGTACTACGTGGACCCCGTGGCAGGTGGTGGCGGCGGTACCGGAACCGCCGTGGCCGCCGTACCGGAACTGGAGGCAGCGTTCGCCGATCAGTTCCACGCGCACGGCTCGTCCGTGGCCATGACGCCGCCGAACAGCGTACGGGCGGCCGCGGCCGCCGACTCGTCCGGCGATCACTTCAACAGTTTCCATCACTTCTACAACGGGTCCACGTCGGCCGGCCCGGTGGTCGGCGAACCACATTGTCAGCACCAGCAACCGCCGCTGCACCAGCAGCAGCACCATCACCAGTCCGCAAACGCCGTGGCCGCGGCAGTCGTCGCGCCCGTCACCGGCAGCGCTGCAGCCGCGGCCGCGGCGGCCGTCACCGCCGCCGCAATGGCCCATCATCCTCCGCCGCCGCCGCCGCTGCCGCACCACCACCATCACCATCACGGTGGCGTGCACGACAACAGCAACAGTTCGTCCGATTTCAACTTCCTCAGCAATTTGGCCAACGAGTTCGCACCCGAATACTATCAGCTCAGCTGAGATTCGCTCTACTATTAGCTCGCATCGTAGCCGCCGTACGTATAACTCGCACATTCGTAAGGGGTGTACTACTACCACCTCAACCTATGTATACTCATCGCGGTTTCGGTTTTCGCATTATACCTGTTATTTCGTCTTTTTTTGAATGTTGGTATTCGTGGTCGACGCGAGTCGTCGTCGATATTTGTCACTGCAGCATGCGCGTTTATCCGTTTTTGTTTTCATCAAATTTTGATTTATTCTTCTCGTTAATGTTGTCGCCTTAATAATTATTCGTCGACTGTCGGACGGTTTATCTTTTTCCAAAATTAAGCGTTTTATCGAAAATAATAAAAATTAACACCGAAATAGCTACTCCTCTTCGAGCCGTCACGCGTATAGCATGTGAGTAAGCACGTCGAAACCATTGTAGAATATTTTACCAAAAACTCACATCTCACATTAATATTATTACAATATTAGTGGCGTTTAAAATCGATGAACATTAACATTTAACGGCGATCGAATTTTTTCTTTTATACGTTTCGCTTGATTTTTTGATTTTTTAATCCAAAAAATCTTTGGTGGTACGTCGAAATTCAGTAGATTCTATTACACAGATTCTAAACGGATGTCCACTCGGAAAACAACTGTCTGCCGCGTAATATTTATTTTCATTTATGTACACAAAATTTGATCACGCCCAAGCTAATTAAAATATTATTGTTTTTATGTTAAGTATATTTTTTTATTCAACTGTTACGTTTCATCATTATTTTGTATATCATATTATTTTAAAGGAAAAACAAATAATATTATCATTTTCGACAATTTATTATTTATTATTTTTGTTGTTTTATGTATTATTATTTTACCGTTAATTTTCTAGATTAGGAAAAGTTCGTTGTAAAATAATAGCGATGTAGATGTTGCACTCGATACCGTGTGATGCATTACATTGCAACTTTGTACATTACTTATACACATTATAGATGAAATACTGTAACTAAATAATATAATAATTGTTTCCTTTTGGTCGTGTTAAATATTTCTTGTACAAAAATAATTATTATTAAATTATATTATACATTATTAGAAATTGTTGTCTTATATAAAATTATTATTATTATTGTCGTGTTTTATTTTATATTATTACTATTATTATTATTATTATTATTATGATTATTATTATTATTATTATTATTATTATTTAGTTTCAATTGAATCACTAAGAAATATGTTGAAAAGGGAAATAAATTAATGCATAATGTTTAATGTTTATATTACGTAGTAGAAAACATTCGTCTTATTGTAAATCTACAAGAGATAATAATAAGAAATGTTGTACATGGTTCAAAATAACGGACACGATTGCAATACGTTTTTCTTTTTTTTTTTTATTTCTATTAATTATGTATTTAAATATATTGCTGCTATTATTATTACTACCTAACGATTGTAATAAATTGTAGTTAAAACTTATAATTAAATTATACAAAAAAATAAAAAATGATAATATCGAATACCCGACAAGTCAAAATAATATTATTATGTTTTATTATTAATCATTATAAATTTACATAAAATACTGATCTACAACAATTTACCAGATCAAACGCGTGTTTTTCATAACTCAACATAGAAACGGCATATATCGTCATTTTTTCATGTGACATCAGTACCTATACATCACCCTAAACCATAGTGTATATAATAATATACACAGTGTTATAATATGGTTGTAGCCCCATATTGTAGCGTACAATTTGTAAGGTAAAGAAAATGACAAAATACTGTAATACGCGACGGTGACTGCCGTGCAGAAACAGTCGTGATATATTTTTATTTTTATAATAATATCATGACAATCAGATTTTGTGCGGTATGAACCGTACAATAATATAACGGAAACGAAATCGAGGAAACGGAGAAATCGCGTGTACGTAGTAATGATAGTATTACGCATGATGTGCCTACTACCTATATTATACGGCAGTGTATGCTCATTTTTTCGATTCGGGTAATACATTATATTATATTATAGTATGACTGATCCTGCCTGACGTTGTCCGCGACGAATTTGATGGATTTCGTGGATTTACAGACTTTCTTAAACTCCGTTTAATGTAAACCGCTCAGATTTTTAACACTAATATATTTGGGTTGTTTTAACCAAAATACGAAGGTTTAAGATTATATCTGATTATAATAACTATTTGTTTTCTGTAATCAATCACAAAAATATATTACTACAATTACCATAATTTACTAGTATAAGTCAACTCTAATAATATATATAGAACATGTATGTGTTGAAATGTAAAAAAGTAGATACTTAAGTAATAAAAATAAGCTTTGACACTACTACAGATCTCGCTGAATCTATTGACGAACACATCAAAAAAATCTTTCGTTATAGGCCTTTAGTTTTGTATAGCAGATGTACCTATTTATTAATTTAAAATAGTTGATTCTGCACGACAAATTAATGCCAGTGGATTAACGCTGTCGTAAACTATACGTGTTTTTAATAGATTCATTAGGTTGGTTTTGACTGAATGCTAAATTCAAGTTTAAAATAGAATCCAATTATAATAATAACTATTTTATTTTCTGTGACCAATAGCAATTTTGTATAAACAATAAAATATTCGTTTTTCGCGAACTCCTAAAATCGAAAGATTTAAAAATTAAGTTTCGAGGTGCACATCATTGGGTATTATCTACGTACGCACTAAATTTCAAAACCACAAGTGCGATAAACTTTTCTGCAGTGGATTGCTTACAAAAAGACGTTTTTCTTTTAATAATATAGATTTTATATTGTTATTTTTCACAGTGTGTCGATGCGACGACACGTCTTTGTCGAACCGTTCGAACAGACATAAATTATTATATTGTTATGCCTATCGATTGACAGAGATCGGAGATTAGGTCAATGGGTTTTGGCACACACATACACACACACACACATGCGTAAATTGTGGATATATAGACGTGGCAAGAGGCTGTGCGTGTGTGAATGTGTATATCGTGCAAATAGTATATACTGCACGCGTATACAGTAGTGGTGTAACACACAGCAATATGTCACGGGATTTTGATTAATGGCCGTCGGCCGGCCCCGTTTCACCCTTGACTTTTTTTCCTCTCTATCTCTTTCTCTCTTTCTCTTTCTATTCCAACCCCTCTGCAGTCTTCTATACGTACCGCCGCCAGCCGGAGGGTCTTTTTTCCGGATCACACCGAGCGCCGCATCGTTCCGCCGTCAATTTCGGTCCGACACTTCAGTGCGAGTGCGTGCGAACACGCACTTTCGTCTTAAGTATCCGATATAACTGTGGCTCCTCTGCTGTTTGTAGACTCGACACCATACGTTGTAGAAAATACACACACACTCACTCATATCCCTTTTTTAAACGTATACCTTTAATATCGATGAGTGAGTAGTGACTGTGTGTATTATTTTATATTTTAATGCACACTATTTGTTAAAATAATATATATTTTGTACTATAAGCATAAAAAGAGCGGAAGCTATAGTTACTCCAATCACATTTTTACTTATAGGAAAGAATAGGTTTTAACCACAAATACTTTCTCGTAAGGTCCGTATTCAATCGTGATACAGAAATACATATGACGTGTACCTAGTGGCGTATTTACAAGAGGGTCCCGGGTCTCGACCCACCCCCAGAAAAAAATAATATTAATTTATATTATGTGTTTTTAATGTTTGTATTACAATATTTTTAAAAATAACTTGGGTTTAACAATTAATTGACATTTATTTTCATAATAATAGTGAAATATAATATAATATAAATAATATCATTATTAAATCATAACTCGTATGTATTTTATTATAATGTTATAAACTTATATTTAATATAAAGACCCCCCCCCCCACAAAAAAATTGAAAATACGCCACTGCGTGTACCTATATATAAAGAAAATTAAATGAATTCTATAGTCTCAAATCTGACTGGCATTGATCCAATTATCGCGAGGAAATCGTGTATGTACAAATGTACCTATTGCATATTACCTATAATAATAAGACGAATAATGATCGTTATATTGTTTTTTTAAATAAAATTTGATTATTTTTTATCTTAAAAAAATCAAATTTTTTCATCACTGCAAGTGTTCATACCAAAATATTAACCACCTAAGTTAGATTAGGTAGAAAAAAGTTCTTTCTAAAAAACATAGAAGATGGCCAACGTCATATACATAGAAATCTCAACATCGGTCGCTGACCGCTGTCTAATCAAAATAGGAATTAGTGTTTTCTGAAAGTTAAACTATATAAGGTTTTTGGTTTTCAAACTAAAAAAATTCTGTTTTCAGTAATTTCACCCCTCGTCAAATACTTATCTTTGTACATCAAAACAAGTGGTTACACTATAAGAAATATAGATGGTTCACGTCAAGAACATTTATGTTAACATTTTTCGATTTCATTATGTCTATTTTTATTTTATTGTTTACAACAGTGTAACAATTATAAATATAAATATATTACATGACACCTATGTATACACCTATTCATGTGAACCCTACTTTATGTACGATTAACTGCTGACCGATACATTAATATTAACACACACACACATATAATTGTAAGGCTTATGACTACATACACGATATATTAGGAAGGCAGTTCACACCAGACCATCGGCATAGAGACTCGGTAAAACTACGACACAGCCTTTTATTATATTAAAATTACACCATATGTGAGTACTATATTATAAGTTTTCTATCAATTATAGATCAATAGTGACTGTCATTGAGCCCGTGGTTATTTAAATATATTTACAATCCTTTAATTCATCTCTACCTACAGCGACGGTTAAATATATCCATAGAGTTCTACGGCTCTCCATAGGTATCATATATTTAACTGATCGTTCATCCGACCACGTTGCTGCACACTATAAAAATTTTATATTTCAAAAACATCTATTTTGTATTCAGATCGCTATTAGTTCAGTTGAGTCCATTTAACATAATCATATAAAAAAAACACTTATGAATCATCATCTGTTTTTAACAATTGTATTCATCTATGATGTACACAGTAATATTATAGATGATTTCCAAATTATTTGCAAAATTTAATTCTCTACCAGTTTTTCAGAAACTATTAACCCCGAAAACAGCAATTCACAGTAATAGCGTTAAACTGTACAAACTCGTATTTATATATTACTATGTAGTGTATATACAGACTATGAGTAAGCGATTCTTGTATTGTTTCCACATTAGACTTAAATAATCAGAAACATCCGAAACACCAGAGATTCTGTATAGATTAGGAAATAATATTATATGTTCAGTACTTTTCGTATTGTATTTATATTTAATTTAATTTATATTTTCTTATAACTTATAATAAATTATAGCAACGTAATGGCAGTAGAGTTATACTAAATCAAATGACTGAAACTAAAAAGTAATCAATTTCAATTAATTCTTATAAAAAAAAAATTGAAATTAACTTGAAACATCTATGAATATTCCTAATTATTTAATTTTGAACATGATTTAGAATTGAATGCTGAGGGTATTCAAATAATGCGTAAAATATATTTTTAAATATTTTAACCATGAATAAAAAAATAATAATAGTTAAAAATAATAACAATCTGTATGTATAATAAATTAATCGATTTATGTTTTTAAGTTTTTATGTCATTGATAGTATTTTGCAGGTAACCATAAAATAAAACACAATATCATTATTGATTTAAAATATATAATAC